ACAGTGGAAGATGGCCCAAGTCCTTGGGCCCCTGCACCTGCATGGGAGACCCAGAGGAAGCTCCTGGCTCCTGGCGCAGCTCTGGCCCTTGCAGCCTTTTGGGGAGTGAACCAACAAATGGAGGACTTCTCTCTCTCTCTGCCTCTCCTCTCTCTGTGTAACTCTTTCAAATAAATAAAATAAATCTTTAAAAAATGTTAAGCTATAAAAATTAATTATTCTAAATATTTAAGAAAAATAATTATCTTCTATGAAAATACTGCATTTCAACATTGTAGGTCATCCAACAAAACCGGATGGCATTATCAAAATTTTAAACTCTGGACATGTACTATAGCTCAGAGCTATTTCAGAACTTAAATGTCTAAATGAATATAAATTTCAGCTAAAACTTATATAAATAATATAAACTGTCTTAAAGACAACATAATAAAAATATAGAATTAAGAATTATTGGGGCCCGCACTGTGGCGCAGTAGGTTAATCCTCCGCCTACAGCACCAGCATCCCATGTGGGTGCTGGTTCTAGTCCTGGCTGCTCCTCTTCCGATCCAGCTCTCTGCTATGGCCTGGGAAATCAGTGGAAGATGGCCCAAGTCCTTAAGTCCTGGGGCCCTTGCACCTGAGTGTGAGACCGAGAAGAGGAACCTGGCTCCAGGCTTTGGATCGGCACAGCTTGGCTGTTGCAGCCATTTGGAGAGTGAACCAACAGAAGGAAGACCTTTCTGTCTCTCCCTCTCACTCTCTGTAACTCTACCTCTCAAATAAATAAAATCTTTTTAAAAAGAATTAAGAATCATGTTATATCCCTACTAGTCATGGGATTTTAAGCAAACTACCTTACCAGATGTGCTTCAATTAGTTCAACTCTACAACAGGGATATCACTACCCATCTCATGGGGCTCTGGTGAAGATTAAATTAGACAATACCTGTGCTTGCAAAGGTACACAGCACTAGTTAGCTAACTCAGCGAGTGTTAGCTATTAATCCTTAGCTATCAATCCAGTGTTATTCTATTAACCTCTGCTATTGAGCATAGTAATCAGCACTCTAGCATGCACATAACAAACATTAAATGAATCCCAACAGAATAAAACATTTAGATAAACAACTAATTTCTTGATTTACAGTATCTGTTCCTTCTTATAGTTTAAGATAAATACTATCAAAACAATATAGAAAAAAAAAATCCTGGCAACTCCAGTTTAAAGCTAAAGTTGTAAAGTTACTATCAATTTAACCAGAAAACTGAGCATTATTTTATATTCATAAACACTTTTTATTTCTCAATTATAGAATCTTAGAACAGTAACTTTCAAACTATATTTTTTGAAGCCCTAAGGTTGTCCTTATGTTTAGAAAGGATGAGAAGCAATCTGATCTATTGGTCACTGTTCTAGCAGAGTAGCCTAGCTTTTAAGCTTTCTATTTTGGGTTTATAACAAGCGATTGCATTTAAGTTACATTTTTCTTAAAATCAATTTTCAAAAATCAAGGTAATTAGAAAAACAATTTAAGAATCAAGATATATTTGAAACCAAGAAATAGATTATTTATTTTATTACTGTATTTAAAATTTTAAAAATTTGAGACAAAATATTCAATAAAATGTATTTTATTTAGAGACCTACATTTAATGTTATCAACAGATGACCCAAAAAGGTACCTTTAGATCAGATCTTGAAAGGTTTTTAGCAGGTGTTCCATTTAGAATCTACACGATAATCAACAGGCAGCATGTTAATTATGAAAATTATTTTTAGTAAGCAAAGTAGCTGAAGCTATCTCCACATCAAACTTGAAACTTCTCAAAATAAACCCTATTTCAACTTTGAGCTCCAGCTTTAAATTATGAAGAATGCAAAAGCATTATTTTCACAGTAGAAAAAAAATCATGGTAAACTAAACTTTGGAAGACGTTATTTATTTAGGGAAAATCATTTGCTTAGCTTATGTGAATAAATAATTATATAAAGATGGAGCTGGCACTGTGGTGTAGCAGGCTAAGCTTTATCCTCCGGCAGCATCATCCCATATAGGCACCGGTTTTAGTCCTGGTGTTCCTCTTTGGATCCAGCTCTCTGCTATGGCCTGGGAGAGCTTTAGAAGATGGCCCAAGTGCTTGAGCCCCTGTACCCATGTGGGAGACCTAAAGAAACTCCTGGCTCCTGGCTTTGGATCAGCCCAGCTCTGGCCTTTGAGGTCAACTGGGGAGTGAACCAGCAAATGGAAGACCTTTTCTCTCTTTCTCTCCCTCTCTCTGTAATTCTACCTCTCAAGTATTATTATATTAATAAAAATCCTTAAAAAAAGAGCAAGGAGTTTGCTAATGAAAATACAAAAACAAGTGTGACATATTTCCTGTCTGGTTACAAATTATCTAGAGAGCTTATAGAGAGGAGGTGGTTTTTTTTGATGGATAGAGTTAAGGAAGGCTTCACAAAAGAGGACAAATTTGAACTTTGTCTTGAAGCATGAACAGAGTATAGCTACGTTAAAATTAGAAGGATCTCTGTGAGTGAGACCTCAATGGGAAGAAGGGGCCATCAAAGAAGGATGCACTTCTCTCTGATGGGAGGAGAGAACTTCCACTTTGCTTATGGCCCTATCTAAATGCTGATGGAGTTTGTGGACTCTAAAGGTTCCATAGCCTTGGCAGCTCATGGCAAGAGCATTGGGTGATCACTGACGAGATAAGAGTGCAAATAGTTAAATCAACAACAAGAATCACTGTATACTTACTCCCAATGTAGGAACTCTGTCCTTAATGAGTTGTACCATGAGAACTAACTGTAAAACTTGTTTTTGAACTGTACTTTATATTTTGTGTGTCTGTGTTGGTGCAAACTGTTGAAATCTCTAGTTAGTATAGAGTTGGTCTTTTCTATATAAAGTTAATTAAAAACGAATCTTAATGAAGAATGTGATGGGAGAAGGAGCAGGAGGTAGGACGGGAGTGGGGGTGGGAAGGAGGGTATGCAGGGAAAAACCACTATATTCCTAAAGCTGTACCTATAAAAATTATATTCATTAAATAAAGGCTTTTTTGTAAAAAATAGAATAGGGATCCAGGTAAAAATTACTGAATATCCAAAAAAGGCTAAGTATCAAACAACTTGCTGGGTCAGAGAATCATGGATGATTTGATAAAAATTTGGAGTTTAGGATAAAAGGAGGGCGAAAGCTGCAGGATAATCTATAGAGGCTTTTTTCTTTTTTATTTCATTCCTAAGCAATGAAAAGTTAGGGAAACATTTTAAATGAGAGTGTAATACAATCACCTATCTGATGCTGGAAGATTATCATTAGTAATGTGAAGGTTAGATTGAAAGACAAGATGGAAGACAGGGAGAAAAATAAGGGCAATATTTTATTTAGCTCTCCTGGGAAAGTTATATAACAATAGTGTATATGACCTTCATGAGAGAGAGTTATCTGCATGTTCTTTATTCAACAATACATTCAGTACCTGACACATATGCAGATTCTTAGAAATTATTTAAATTACTATTAGTAAAACTGAGCAGAAAGAGAACAAACTAAGACTTAATTGTGCTATTTTACAATGCACTTCCAGCTCTTGAACCGTAACAGAGTGGAGAGCTGTGTCAATATCAATAGAACTGTCCCCTGCTGCTACAACCTGTTCATGAGTTTTAATAACTACATTTCTTGTTGAAGCATTGCCACTAATGATTAATATCGTTTCTAAGGTTTATACGGGTATAGACTTTTTGACAGGTAACTTTCATAGGGTGCAGGAAACAATAAAAACAAAAGGAATATAAGGATGCCATTTTCACTTACCATGTACAGGGGATGGGGAGGAGAAAAAATGAAGGGCATACTTTCAACATCATCTGGCTATTGTCTCAACTTTGTAACCTGGCTTTATTTATTTGGAATAGATGTGGATTTTAAATAAAGAATGAACATATTTAAAACTATAAATAGGGTAACCCTTTAAAATGACACTTATACAGATTTTCTGAACTATTCATATTAATATACTACCAAATTTACTCAAAAGAAAGAAAGAAAGGACAAATGTGTTCTGTCTCCCAGACAACATCATGCATTCATTTCAATGTGTCTGAACACAAAAGCATAGCAGTATTTGTAAATGTGAACTCTGACTAAAAACTGTTATTATGCAAGTAAGAGAATTTTTCACTGTCATTGCTTAATTAATAAGAGAGAATGATAATTCTTACAAGAGTAATAATAAATTCAAGCCACATAACAATCAATGGTCTCTTTTACATTTTAACATTTTAAAACATAGAATTTACTAACATGTAGACAGTTTTTCAGTCAGAATTACAAATAATGATTTCTTATATGTATATTTGTATCTCTATATTGATATCAATCAAAATTCAGTGTGTCAAAGATATTCATGACATCTAAATATTTGCATCTCTCTTTCAACTGGAACTAGAACAAAAGATGTTGTGACACACATGTCATTAATAATTAATCTGAATCTCTACCAACACTGTGATGGTAATAATTATTTAACAAATTTGTGGCCTATGATTTACTTCACAGAAGTTAATAATCTTGACATTAGGGTCATGTATTTGGTTAAAAAATATTGGTACCTGGAATATTTGAGGATTTAAATCATTTAATATTATATCCAAATATTCAATATTTAGCATATTTTTTGTCAGGCAAAGTATTTAAAGCACATAAAACTGCAAGGCATATTCCAGGAAAGGCCAAGAGTCCAGGGTGACTGAAGTACGTGGATTGTATAATAGATTCAGAGAGAGATGAGGTATGCAAAATAAACATATTTTAAAGGAAAAATAATTTTATTTAAAGATAAGTGGAATCAACATTTGTAGTCAAAGAGGAAATGATTTTGTTGGAATGTATTCTTGCTTGTGTTCTGGAAAACCTTTATTTTACAGATGCAATTAACTGGAATTTAAAAGTATTCTCTGGTGGTATTAAGATAACATATTTCCCAGAGTAGCAATTCATCATTACCTTTGTAGTTAACCTTGAAGCCAACAGATCCCACACTTTCATCTGTTTGAAGGTGCAGCCACATTTGGCTACTCATGCTCACTATCAAATCTGGTACAAAGCTTCCAGTCAGCCTAAAATGAGATGGATAAAGAAGAGATGGGTTATCAAAACACTCTCTGCATACAAAAAATGAGGAAGAAGGCTTTCTTAATACTTTATTTCCTAGAAAAACAACTTTCAAATAATTTAATAGGAATATGTGATGATATAACAGAAGAATCAAACTACACAATTTAGCAATCAAGGTTTATTATTTTTAAAATACTATTTCATGTATTTAACTAGTTAGATCTTTCATATCTCTGCAAGCAGTTCTATTAAAATTTTAGACCATCAGAGAGTCCTATACTTCCTTTTGAACTAAAAAGAAAAATGGATCAGGAAAAAACCTTCAAGTATTTTTAATATCAAGAATGCATCTCATTCAGCTTTTCAAGTTCCACAGAACTTCATTCTAAATATTGTGACAAATATTCAAGCACTGCGCAAAAGAACAAAATGGCAGGAAGTATCCATGTCATATGCTGTACTGTAAAATTTTATCTAAAATAGTTACTAATCTTATGTGAATAACTTGAGTATATGCATTAATAATTCCTCATTCAGTAATGTATAATTTTCTGATCATAACAAGGGAAATTACTTGGTGCTTCCTCTGTCATTAATAATGTTGTAGTCACATACTTGAACTTAAGCCAAGGGTCATACAAAGGATGTAAGCAAATGAGTAAATAAGACCTTGGGGGAAAAAGTCTGTCATGAAAAGAGAGAGAAAAACAATGAACTCATTGCAAAGTAAATATCCATACTAATAGAACATTCTAAATTACATACTAACAATTTTTTTCTAGAAAAATTATAGAATGTTTTCTTACTTCATTGCTAAAACCCCTAGGATGCCTAGAAATTATGTTAGGAGGAAAAGTAAAAAGTGTTCTTTTATTAAAAAAAGGGGGGCACCTTAATAATTTTGTTAAGTCTTTTAGGTAGTGGCTACACTGCAACATGACCAGCCGAGGATAGCATGGGTGACCACATTCTTGAAGTGACGATGGCAGCTAAAAACTTTGCTTACTAAAAACTGACAAATAACATCAGAAAACTGCATTACCTGTATGGTTGTATCACCAGTGCCTGGTGTTACAGAACTGGTGGCACTGCATTACCAAGAAGCTCAGTAACATATTATGATTTAATTATGGGACTAAGCCTGGTTAGTCAAATATCGCGATACTGAGATACTACAAAATATTATGGAACTTTAGATTCTATTCATTCCCATTCTGCCAAAAAAAAAAAAAAACTAAAATTATTCTAATATAAAACACAGACATATATATGTACACAATGTATATAAATATATGTACTCACACTATCATATGAAACAACTTTAAATTTTATAATACGTTAAAATTTCAAATAGGTGAGTACTAGGTACTAGTTTTTTATGGGCAGAAGTAAGGACTCCAGTTCAAAGGTATGACTGAAAACAAATAAACCTACCAAGAAATGGCCAAAAGAGTTTAATGATACAGAATTGGCTTCAGCCACACAATGTAAATAATAGCAGCAATCTATCTTAGTAAATGCTAAAAGCTTGGCTTTTGCTAGGGAAATTTAATTATTGCTCTGTATTACCTTCTTTTATATTATCATTCTAGTCCTGATAGTTTTATCAGCCTCAAAGTTCTAGAATGGTATTTTGCCAGTTCATAAAGAATAATTAACAGATGTAGGGTATTGTTCCCTCGCTAATCTGTTCTCCTACCTCATTCTTGGTGGAAAAGATAAATTATAAATTAGTTAAATAAATAAACAAATAAAGTAAAAGTGTTTGCTGATGCTGAAAAGATTAAAACAGAATTCCCCCAATTTGTTTTTAGTACTTTCTTTAGAAAACTTTAAATGATAAGTTGCCTGTTAAGTCATTTAGAAGTTAAGTCATACTCTTGCCTATTTTTCATCCCAGGAATAACCAATACCTTGGAGACTTTTGAGCCACCCCTTAAATATGAACATATCATCAAGTCAAAAAGAAATAAAATTCCATATCTTTTCCTGTCATATGTGACGAAAAGCACTTCTTTCTATTTTATCACCAAAGAGTAGATGCCATTGAGAAACTTTACAGGGCTCCTTGTTAGCTATGCTTCATACTAATGAGACAGCTTTCTTCCTTTGATTCCAAGATTGTAGATTTCCTTTGAATTGTGTTTTCAGTTCATTGCGCCATGCATGGACATGTGTATAGCCTTTATCCAGTACAGAATTTTTAATCAGTAAACTTTGTTCATTTGATGCAGTAAGCACATTGGGCACTAGAAACTGACCCACTCCATCAAAGTTGGCCAACTACCCATTTCCTGCAACAACTGAGAAAGAATTAAGTGATTCAGACAGTTATAAAGGGATTGCTCATAGCCATTCTTGAAACAATTCCTCTAAAACTGATCTGAGAGAAATGGCAATGGTGTGCTCAGAAAACAGGTAAGTCAGTCCCCACTAGATTTCCATTACCAGTTTTTTGAGAACTTCTCAAAAATATACCAGCACATGGCCGGCACTGCGGCTCACTAGGCTAATCCTCTGCCTTGCGGCGCCAGCACACCGGGTTCTAGTCCCGGTCGGGGCACCGGTTTCTGTCCCGGTTGCCCCTCTTCCAGGCCAGCTCTCTGCTGTGGCCAGGGAGTGCAGTGGAGGATGGCCCAAGTACTTGGACCCTGCACCCCATGGGAGACTAGGAGAAGCACCTCGCTCGTGCCATTGGATCAGCGCGGTGCGCCGGCCACAGCACTCCAGCCGCGGCGGACATTGGAGGGTGAACCAACGGCAAAAGGAAGACCTTTCTCTCTCTGTCTCTCTCTCTCTCACTGTCCACTCTGCCTATCGAGTCGATAAGCTGGTCTTGATAAAATCCGGCATGCATCCAGGGCCAGAAAAAAATCATTCTCTGCTCTTACCTACCTTTATTTTGGTCCTCCTCGGCTAAAATATCCAAACTTGGCTGGGAAAGGTGCTAGAAGGTAACACATATCAATCCTACTATAGTAGTAGTGTGGGCTAAGTCTAGGTATACATGAAGAAGGAAAGAAGAAATTGGAAACTTCTATGTTCATTATTCAGTTAAAACTATTTACTAACAAGAATAACCCCTACTTGGGCACAAGTTATAATGAGTAAAATACAAAGAACTGGATGTCATCATTGTAAGAAGAAGGGCATTGGAAAAGAGACTGCGGAAAAGAGACTCCAGAGGACATAAAAATTTCAGAAACAGGAGCATCAGGAAACACCAGAAGGCTAGGTAGTAACTGGTAAATGACATAATACTGACAAATTGAGGGAATCTCAAAGGTGGGAACTGGTAATATATACACTTCCATAACTTATCCTCAGGCTAACTTAGTATTGCTTTTTCTGGCAAATACTTGTGCTACCTATTCTTCAATTTCCCCAGAAATGTCTCACTTTCCATCTGGTGACAGAGCAACACAGGTTGTTGGTATTTTGAGTCAGCCTTCTACTTGTTCCTTTTCTTCTGTTTGTTCCCACACAGATAGATCCCCAGATTGAGAAACAGGTTTTCTTACTTTTCCCTTGAATCTCCTGTAAACATGTTGGGGAGACCCTCTGGACACATTTTTAGAAACTACTATATTCTATACTCTATATGGAATGTCTATGGCACTTCCTGGAAAAAAGGCACCTGACTACTGTGTGACTTCCAAAAGAAAAGGGGTATAGAAAGTGGCAGTCTCACACTGTGCTGCCTAAATACTCTGAACAGAAACCAACCAATTCATCACTGTGGCCTAGTAATAATGACACTGGTTTAATCTGAGTTGTGAAAGATAACAGATAACTTACAAAAATCATAAGCAATGGCCTTGTGTCAAACAACATCTTTTGTTGAAGACTATTTGAAAGAATAAAAGCAATTATAAAAGAAAGAGAAGGGATGATTTAGGGAAGGGCACTTGTCCTATAATACTAGTATTGCCATACCTCCAGGAAGGAGTAAAGGTAAATTTGTTTAAGATGTTTTAATTTTGTACAAAGCTTTTAAAAAGTAAGTAAATTTGTTGTTCCATTACTTTCTATAGTTACTAACATTTGGACTTATAACTTTGGTGCCATCTTCTGAAAGTTTATCTTCAATGGATCTATGATCTCCCTTTTTTCTCATATTCCTCTAGTGAACAATTTTAAATTCTTGCTTGCCTTTGCTTTAAAGGACTCCAGTATTTATGGCAAGGACTCCTTAAGGGCGTTCTGGGCTTTCATATTACTTCTCTAGTCATTCATAGGAAATTTTACAGAAATTCATCCCACTAGGGGAATCTTTAAATATTGAATACATAAGATAGTTCACTGGTAGACTCAGAAACAAACAAAAACAATGCAAAACTGATTATTCAACTCTATTACAGTTCCCACTTCACAAGAACATAAGACGTCAATAGACAAATTATAGGATTGCCAAACCGAGGTAAAAATTTACGGGATCTGTTGATGCCAGAGGTCCCATATAGGAGTCAGCTCATTTTGCAGATGAAATACCCTACTTGAAAAAAAGACACAATTTTAGATACTTGTGGGATAACTGTAGACAGTGGGTTCAGCTTGTGCAGACTAGGCAAAAACCACGGACAGAACAATTGCATGATAATTCTTCAGATATCTGATTTGATCAGTAGAATTTAAAGATACATTTGAATGAAGATTGCCTATAGTTTCAACTTTAGGGATTCTGAATTTTATAAAGCCTTTCCACTTACTTTGTTATGAAAATAAGGGTACCACTTTAAGCCTTTTAACTTAAAATTTTTGATTAAACCGCATCATCAATATTGAATATCTTAGTTTTTATGGAGATTCTGGCACTGGGGTAACAGGATACTGTGTCAGCAGCAGACATACTTTAAAAAAATAGTATTTCATGACAGATGATAATTGTTCAGCTTGGGGCCGGTGCTGTGGTGCACTAGGTTAATTCTCTGCCTGTGGCACCGGCATCCCATATGGGCACCAGGTTCTAGTCTCGGTTGCTCCTCTTCCAGTCCAGCTCTGC